TTTTTTTGTATGTCACTCTTTAGTAACATTTCTAACCTCCGACTCTTGTGTGACCTGTTTGAGTTGCAAGTGCTGTAAAACTCTTACCAAAGCTAGGAATGTATTGATTTGGATTTATGAAACGCAAGAATGCGCTTTTACTCCCTGACCTACCGTATCTCCATTTTCATTTTTCGGGCCTGGCAGGGAAGGGGTTAATATGGTATCGCCGTTTGATGTAATATCGCCGACTTTGAAGTCAGAAAATGTTCGTCACTATCCATGAAAGTGTGAGCTTGTTCGTACGTTTCGGTCTTTTTACTTGTGAGTATTAATGTCGAGGACGGTATGTCTAATTGCGGGTTGCTGGAGGGAGTCACTTTAATCGGTCCTTGTTCTTTTTTATCCCTCTTTTGTTTTTGCCTGTTTGTTTTGCTTTCCCAGAACACCAAGTGACTGCGTGTATTCTCTCACTCCAAACAAGGAAGGTATGAATGATTTATGCATCTGCATTTGGCTTTTGTCCAAACAAAACAGACACATTAATTTATTTAGTATCTAGTTAAAAGACGTCCACAGCTGAACAGAACAGATGTACCTAAAGTGAGAATATACGGGAGACTGGTTCACCGACGCAAAGCGGCGCAACTGTACTGATGTGGGGATGTACACCATCTGAAAGATAAAGGAGTTAAAAAGTTTACTATCTAGCAATTTTTCTTAAACATTGGAACAGTGAAACTTCCAAAAATTCAACACAAGAAAGAAATAGTAAGTCTCTAGATCTAAATCTTTAGTTAGTAGGAGAATGTGACATCACCAGTCTCTCTCTTGTGATCTTCAAATTATATTGTTATGTAGTAAGTGGCTTCTTGTGGTAAAACACGGTAGAGACAGATTTAGACGAACGTCCTGTGTGATTTACAACAAAAAGACCAAACAAAAATGAACTTCCCACTCTTGGCGTTCACCACTAGCTCAATATTCTGCAAGACTACATTGCTGTGAACCCTCATGAGAATCTAATGGGACACATTTGAACTAGGGTCATTTGGCCAGGACCTATGGAAAATGAATGTACATAGCCCCAGGGCTCAAACAGCACCACAGGGGCATAAACCCAATTCCACAGTATGGTCTTTGTGCGTCATGGCAGGCAGTTTTAAAGCAGTGTGCGTGATATAGCTTCACCAGGTCGGAAGACATAATGGGAGTAGATCGCCCGAGTTCAACTTCCCTCTCTTCAGGTCATGAATTCTTTGACATGCTCCGAAGGAAGAGACATGGTCAATACGTTTGGAATCGGGGAATTTGTAACGGATGCCTTTTATTATACTTTACCGATGTAACAGAGTGTGATAGTTCCGCGCCATTTTAACATAGGTGTTATTACACCCCCATCGATTGAATTTATATTTAAAAAAGGAGGCGGCTTCCGACCCTACCTGTGAGGACCAACCCTGGCTAAGAGGGATACAACATCCCAGCAAAAAGACCGAAGTATGTACTCGATAAATATTATCCACACTCGAGAATCGAAATAGGCTCTCCTTCCAAACTATGATACTATCAAACTTTCTTACCTGTACGAGCCTGAAGAGAACAAGCACAGGTACCACAGCTGCCAGCAGTATGGGCATGGTGTAGCAGATGGTAATGAGACTGCCCAATAACTCAGTGGAATTATTGAAGACCATTTCAAAGACTAGAAAAATCTGATTGTCTACCGCGGCCACATCTTGGCTGTGAACATTCAAATGAAATTTGATTGAATTAAAGAGACTTTGAACACAATAGCGAGCATACTGTACTTTTAAAAATAGGCAAAATAGACAGACAGAAACAAAAGACAAAGGGTAACAAAGTATTTTCTGCCAGCAACAAGTACCATCCATCTTTCTAGGTAACCAGTGTTATGAATAAATCAAGATCGTTTTCGCTTTATTCATTTTTCCGGACGCCTCCTGGAAACTGGGTTTTTTTCTTGGATTCTGAGCTGTAAATGCAATACGAAAGATAAGATAAGACAGATAAGATAGTGTTCTGTTTTTCTCCATCTAAAAGAAATGGATACAGCATGGTAAATATATACACGTAAACGCACACGCACACGCGCACGCACACGCCAAAC